ATTAACGCCATTCTATTCTCTGTAATATAAATTTTTACTAAGAATAGTGCTTCAGGATGTACCCTGTACTTTAGATAGAGAACTCACAAGTACAAGTAAGAGGGTACCACTTATATGTAGGAGTACTGTTGGCACATTCAAAAATGTGATTTTGTACACAAACGTGCCTTGATCATTTTTATAGTTGTGCTGTTATTTCACAATAGTGTGTCTGACACACTGTTCATACCTTCAGGTTTTTTGCTTTCATTTTATTAGAAATTATTTATTGAAAATTATCATAGTGACAGTGATTGTTTTCCACATACAGAGGTATATCTGAAAAGAATATGTGACCAGTAGTCTCTTTCAGATGCACACCAGCCTATTCTTTGGTTTATTATTATAGTCACTGTTTCCACAGTATTGTCTGTGAAATTGTTTCTTAAACTCATATTCTTCTTGATGGTTTAGTTTAAAAAAAAAAGAATTGCCCTGTTTCTGATTACTACATACTAAGTTTTGGCTGGTTGGATCTGGCTGCTCAAGTCACTGATAGTAATATCTGAAGTTTATGTTTCAGTGTCTCTGGTGTGAAGCATAATCGTACGTTAACTACTTGAATAGCTTGCTGACATTCATCCTCTTCACATACCTAGCTCAGAGAAATTGAGTTGCAGCAAAGATAATTATATCACTAATGGATTGGCAGTACTGCCTTTCTTAAAATTAAGGTGATGAAGAATAGGCTGACTTGGCTCTTAGTTGGGCAATGTGTGGGGATGGGATAGGGGGCAAATAAATAATGCTACAGAATCAGCTAAAGAGACTGATAGAGAGATTGTAGTCACTTTGGCATGCATTCTGATCTAGCTTCTTTCTCACACAAGATATTCATAGGTATCTAGGGGTTTTCATACCCTGTTGACCTAAGTAGATTGTTTACTTTTGAGTACCAATAAATGACCCAATAAAGGGTAGAAGGTGGACAGGAGAATCTGAAAGAGCTAGTCAGCAGGTAGTTAGATCGCATGTGTTTGGTAACTCATACTAGAGTTTGGACAAATGGGACCCAGGGTACTGATAGACTGGCATATGTATCCTTGCTGTATCTTTTGTTTAGATAGCAATAAATTGTCGTTGAATAAACTCAATGAGCTTCAGTTTTTTCTGTCCCTTGGATCCATAAGTGAAATGTTAAGAATATTATGAATAAGAATACTGTGAAAATTATATTGATGAAGCTATATCAGAAGTCTTATCAGAAACCTATGCAATTAAATGATGGTATTAATATTTATATATAATGTACATTATTATTTTGCAGCCCTTCATTTAGGAATGGATTTTACTATCAATTTTGCCTTTCTCTGTCTAAAAGCCACTTTGATTTGGATTTTTAGATCCTTATCACTTAGTATATCATGGGAATTGTGTGTTATCTATGTTTTAATATTTCGTGACTGCTTCTGACTAAAAACTGTCCAGGCTAAACATTTCTCCACTAATTAACTAGGCTTTGTATGATCTGCTCTCCTATTCTCTCACCATCTTGGTTGTCCTCTTCTGGATCTCCTCCACCTTATCTATGTCTTTCCTAAAGTGTTTTGTACAAAACTGAATATAGTAGGTTAGATATTGCTTGACCAGGGCAAGTAGTACTAGTAGCCCTTTCTTTTCTTTTATCATCTTCTTACTTCCAAATTAGTTAAAAAGCAAAACAAAACAGGACATCTTTTTGTTCTCTTTAGCATTCATGCCAGTCTCAACTTATTCTGGACTTTATTGTTCCTGACACTCTTGTATTTATTTTCAGTTACTTGTTCTGGTACCTGACTTTTGTATGTGTATTTTTAAAATTCAAGTTTGTTGATTTTATAATTTATGGTCATTAGCTCACAGAAATTCCTAGATTAATCTCAAGGGCTTTTGGTGATATTCAAGGCCTTTTGACTTGAAAGAGTTTTTCCAGTTTCAAGGTTTCTTTATGTATTTAAGTCTAAAGGGCTTGGTATGCCTAAATGCCCTGACCAGGGTATCAGTCTGCTTTCAGCAGGTTTAGTTCTAGAAGTATGTTTCTTTATTTTTTCTCCTCCTCCCGTTTATCCTTGATAGGACGCTAATTTCAGTGATCTCCAGGAATGACTGATTCTTTTCTCTTTCCACTATCCCTTTTCTGTATGTTGGCACTTTTCTCACCCACCCCCAGTTCTTTAGGAGCATGCTATAAACTACGTACTGATTTTAACCTCCAAGAGAATAGTTTATTGTCCTGCAAGGAAGGGAATCTCTCCCTTGACTCAGGAGACATTTAATCTCCTAAAAGGAGTATATATTTAGGTAGAGATGTTATTATGATTCATTCTCAGCTAGTTATTAGTTGCTGCACAAATTGTGGGCAGTTTAACTAAAAGAGATTCTCTTAGAGCTATGGAGAAGAGAGGGATGGTTCCTTAGAACCCCTTCATTTAATCCAGAAAAATGCATGGCTTTCAAAAATGCTACAGTCTATCCTTAATACTACCAGGATGTGACACAATGTTCCATTGTTATCCTAGAAATGACTCTGAAATATATGCTTCCCTGTTAGTGAAAAAGATCATTAGTGTCACCATATGTATAATGTCACCGTATACAGTGGCCATAGAGACCTATTTCCATGAGCATTTGGCAAGGGAAGCAGTGATAAATAAAGCCAATATGGGGTCATCAAAACTAGATCATGGCCAACTAACCTCTTTCCTTTTAGGTCATTGGTGAGCAATAACTATACATTTGTAATCAAACAGGTAATAGATCATAATCTTTGGTGCCCACATTGCTGGTAGTATCTCCCTGTTCTTGCCTGTAAAAAACTTCATGAACATAAAAATCAAAACAAATATAACCAACAATTATAATCACTTTTATATATCCTTGAAATCTCCCCCCAACTTAGAGGCTACCTAGGCAAAGGCTTTCTCCTTGCTGGAAAGACAAGTTGCAGGAACTATAAGAATTTGAGATAGGTTCAAACTTTCATTCCCCTTGTTTGGGGTCCCCTAACAGTCAAGTCAGCAATCATTTATTAAGAACTTACTATGGGCCAGGCACTGTGCTAAGCTATGGGAAAACAAATACAAGCAGGAAGAAAGATAATCCCTCCCATTAAGGAGTAATTTATAATGGGGGAAGGCAACATGTGAAAGGAAGCTGAAAAGCAGAGTAGGTTGGGGCAGCATGGTGGAGAAAAAAGGACAGAGTTAGAAATGGAGTCCAGAGAAGAATGAAGGAGTGAACATGACTGGCCTGGGCATTTTCCTTAAAATGGAGGTTCTGTGAGGAAACAGCTAATCAGAGGAAGGGGCTGCAGAGGCAGGGTGAAGAGGCCATTGTGGCATGGTAGAAGAATGTCCATAGAGTTAAGAGCAAAAGGTGGAGAGGATGGGGCAGCTAGGTGGCATAGTGGATAAAGCTCCGGCCTTTGAGTCAGGAGGACCTGAGTTCAAATCCGACCTCAGACACTTACTAGCTGTGTGACCTTGGGCAAGTCACTTATCCACGATTGCCTCACACCCCCCCCCCAAAAAAACCCCAAAACCTGGAGAAGAATGAATAAATAAAAGACAGGGTATGTTAGGCCCAAGGTAGGTGTTAGATTCAAATTCCTTGGTATTGCTGAATCAGTGGAAGATATAACCACTAACAGCTTTATTGTTGTAATCAGAGAGGGATACTACATTAGACTGTTGCACATACCCAAGACCCGGCACTCCCCAACAACAAAAGTATCCACTTGACACTTACTAGCTGTGTGCAAGTCACTTAACTCCGATTGCCTCACCAAGAAAAAAAAAAAAGTATCTGAGCTTCCAGTTTTGGTAAGTTATTTTCCTTTTGCCAGAGTCCTGAAAAACAAAACTTTTTTTAGCATTCACCCATAGTTCTTCCCATAGGTGGTGTCAGATTTCCACATCATCTAAAACTTAATCATTTCCTTCTTCTTCCTCTCCAAGAAAGATCATTTTTTATAAACTATCTCTGAAGAGGTCTTTATATTAGTACTGAAAGAGACTGAGGGTTATAGCTTTTTGTGTCCTTTGCTATTAATTCTGTGGTCAACCTGTTTCCAAATGCTCTCTTTCCATATGGCTAGCAGATTATATTTGCTTCTGCAAAGAAGATGTTTATCATAGCCTTATAATGCTTGTTCTTGGCTTAACTTTGCTCCCTACCCCCAGTGCTCCAGCTACAGAATCACTTATTGCAACAGCTGACAATAATTATTTAATTTTTTAGGAGAAACCTTTTACATCCTTAGTAGTAAACTTGTTTTTCTGAAAAAGTATCCTTGGTAGCTTTTTCCATTCTCTTATCACTGAACCTAGCTTAGCTTCCCTCTATCTGGTCCTCAAGTGAGACCAGAAAAATGGGGTTCATCTGTTGAAAGTGTTGTTAACATAGTTAGGGCACACTTTTTCCAGTAGGTCATATAATTAAGAGTACTTAGGGCAGAATTAAGGCTCTTTTTCAGTTTCCCATACCTTCTAAGCTCTAGGTGACAGTAGACTCCCAGCTGACTCTACTGGCTGCCACGAATGTTATCTCATTAGAGGAATATGTATATTGTTAAATGACTAGGGATTCCAAAATCCTTTTTTTGAGGAAGAAGGGTACCATAGGTCTGTTTCTCCAGATTTTACTGATTATTACTCTGACTGCTACTAGCTTCTACTAGGTAACTTATCTTATTGACTCCTTTTTCTTGTTACTCCTTTCTCTCTTCTCAGGGGAATATAGATTCCACCTTACCTTTTCCTCTCAACTGCTCCCCCAAGATAAGATTCTTGATCTTTGTTTCCCAGATGTCCTTCAGTTCTTTAATGCTTAACTAGCTAATTAGCACATAAAAATGGGAACATTTGCAGAAAAGTCACTAGAGGTTTCCATACTCCCCCCCAAAAAACATGCCAGGAGTTGGCTTTTTGTCACATGGAATGTTTAATTCATTTCTAAAAATGGCTTTTTTCCTCCTAAAACAGATAAGTGTAAAACAGGAAATTACTTTTACTGATGTAGCTGAACAACAAAAGAGAGACAAAAAGCAGATTCGAGAGCCAGTAGACTTGCAGAAAAAGAAGAAACGGAAACAGCGTTCTCCTGCAAAGGTAAGAAACAGCTTAAGGCAAAGGTTTTAACCTATCCATTATAGCTACTGGTCGGGTCTTCAAAGTTTTGCCATGTAAATTGCTTTGCAAGGAACTTTCCTCAAGAGAGATGGAATGGAAGCACCTCAGATACAGGTGGGACATCTGAGATTTTTGGCATCTGGTTTAACTGGAAGGGAGAGAGGTTGTTGATCATGTCCATGTACCATTCTTCTTGTCATCTACAGTTATTTATCCAGAAAGAAGTGGCTTTTCCTTTTCTCCTCAGCTTTCCCCTCCATTTCTTCTCCTGAGCCCTACCTTGGACCCTAGTGACCCAAATGCTGTAGCCTACCTTCTCATTGTGATTCAAGGAAAGCAGAAAGGTGCCAAGCTATAGTCTTTATAGTCTTCTTCCATCTCTTTCTTCCTTGTCAGTTTCCATACTCTCTTTCCATATCCTGTTTGATATCTTTATATCTTTTCCCTCTCCATCTTTTTCTCTCTTCTTCCTTTTCCTTTTATATGTCCTTTTTTTTTAACTGTTCTTCTTTTTGCATCTCCATTTTCTTGTACTTCAACAAATTGGCTAATGACAGCCAGTGCCAGGTGTCTGGTTAATGATTTGTTTCTCCTGTGTTAAATATTTTTCATAACTTCTGTAAGAAAGAAGATTATAGTATTTCCAGTAACTCAGAACTAATTCTTTATCATGAATAATTCGGGGACCACTGAATTGTTTGTCAACAACATATTAATTCCACAAAAACTATTATAGGAAATTGATTTTCATATTTTTCAGCAAATGACATTCCTCTGATTCCCAGAAATTCATTGCATCATATGTGTGTGTGTTTGTGTGTGTATGTGTGCATATAGATATAGATATAGATATATAAATAAGATTTGGTAAATCTTTCCATACTCTGCCTTTCTCCCCATATCTCAACATATTCATCATATGATGGTCATCTTTTTGGAGGGCTAGTTTGCATTTGTGAATCATATTATCAAACTTACGAATTTGTGATTCATTTATGAATCATCAAATTACTTATCTATAGGGTAAAATTATGCTTTGAAGACTAAAAAAATCGTAATTAATAATAACAGTAGCTAACTTTTATATAGTGCTTACTGTAAGTCAGCTAAATGCTTTGCAATTATCTCATTTGATCTTTACAGCAACTCTGGGAGTTAGGTGCTATTATTATTCCCATTTTATATATGAGGAAACTGAGGGAAATAGAGACTAAATGACTTGCCCAGGGTCACATAGCTGATAAGTGTCTCAGGCCAGATTTTATCTCAGGTCTGCCTAGGCCTACCTCAGGCCCAGTGTTTTATCCACTGTGCTACCTAGGTATATGTTATATATATAATACATTTATTTATAAAAAATGATCAGTTTCTGAAATAACAATAGCCCCTGATAGGAGGAAGTATAGATCTAGATATATGTTTATATGAATAGCAAAATTTTTTTCCAGTATTTTAAAAGATCATTAATTTCAACAGACCTCAAATTTCACTGGATATTTTAGTCAAAAGACTTTTCTTAGTATTTCCATTTTTGTCGGTGCTATCTTTTCCTAAGTTCTATAGAGCAACGCTTGTTTTATTCATTCAGTTTTTTTGTTCATTTGGCAAACATTTATTAATCAAGTATTTTTTGAGCACCTATTATACGTCAGGCTCTGGGTTAGGTGTTGAGGATACAAGTATGAAAAGTGAACCGATCTCTACTTGCAATTAGAGACAGTAGTACATAAGATTATGTGACAAAATCAAAACCAAAAGTGAAATGTTTTTTTCTCTTAAGGCACCTGAATTCTCCTGGGGGAAACAACATTTGCCTTTAAGTCAGGGGTTCTTAACTTTTTTGTTTTGTGAGCCTATGGACATTTTCTTAGGATAATGTTTTTAAATGTATAAAATAAATAAACCAAGTATATTGAAATGCAGTTATCAGAATTTTTTTCAAAACCCCCCCTGGTTTATTTTCACTATAAATAGTAAATGTGAAATATATTCAAAGTAAATACAAACTGATTTCAGGGGGTGAGCACTAGCATTGGAGCCACCTAGGTAGAGTAGTGGACAGAGTGCCAGGCTTGGAGTTACGAAGATTTGAGCTTGCATTCTTACTCAAACACTTACTAGCTGTGTGACCCTGGGCAAGTCACGTAATCTTTTTTGGCTTCAGTTTCCTCATCTGAAAAATGAGAGATTTGGCCTTGGTACCTTTAAGGGCTTTTCAAGATCTAAATTCATGGTTCTGTGAACTGGGAGGATCATGGAAAGCCTTATGAAGAGGTTGTAGCACTTGAACTGAGCTCTGAAAGAAGCTGATTGAAGTAGAGGTGAGATGATAGTGAACTTCAGGTATTTGTAGGGGGTGAGGTAGGGAAAATAGACTGTGCAAAGTTATGGAGATAGGAAAGAAGATGTGGTGGATAAATAATAGCAAGTTCGCAGCAGCTAGGTGGCACAGTGGATAGAGCACCAGTCCTGGAGTCAGGAAGACTTGAGTTCAAATTCGACCTCAAACACATAAAACTCATTAGCTGTGTGACTCTGGGTAAGTCACTTAATGCCAGTGGCCTCACAAAAAACAAAAAAAAAAAGCTGGGGTGCATAAAGAGGAGTAATGTGTAGTGATGTTGGAAAGATATATTGGATTCAGATTTTGAATGCCAGACAGTGGAGCTTATGTATTACCTTAGAGGCAATTGTAGTTTTTTGAGCAGGGGAGCAACCTAGTTATGCCTGTGCTTTAGTCATATCAATTTGGTTGTTGTGTGGAAGATGGATTGGATAAGAAAGAGACTGGAGCCAGGGATACTAATTAGAATATAGTTGTAATGGTCTGTATTCTAATGGTCTACATGAAAGATGATGAGACCTAGAACTAGAGTTGCACCCATAAGAATAGTAGAAGAAAATGGATAGGAGATATATTATGGAAGTAGGATTGTCAAGACTTGGCGACTTATTGGATTTCTAGGAATGGGAGAGAGTGAAGAGTCAGGAATGACTCCAAGGTTGTGGGCCTGGGTTGTTGGATTACTTGACTGGAAGGATGTTGGTGTCCTTCATAGAAATAGGGAAATTAAGAAGAATAGTCCATTTAGGGGGAAAGATGATAAGATCTGTTTTGGCCATGTTGAGTTTCATATGCCTATAGGACATCCGTTTGAAAGTGGCCATTAGGCAGGTGATGATGAAAGACTAACCCAGGAGAAACCCTAGGGCATCATCTGTATAGAGATGATAATTGAACCCATGGGGGCTGATAAGATCACTAAGTGAGAGAGTGTAAATAAAGAAAAGAAGGGTAACTTTTTTAGAAAAATTATATTTTGAAATCTTTGCCCGGTTTTATACCTAAGATATTTATAAAATAAATATTTTAAAGATCATATTTTAATAATTTCAAACTTTCAAATTAGTTGAATTTATCTACTTTGGTAGGTAATACCTATTGACTATATTATGTTGAACATTGAACATTTCTTCATGAATTATTTCTTAAGTTTTTAAGGAGGAAAAATCTGTTTGTGTGCCTTTTATGCACACAGTTGCTAGATGAAAAGTTAAGTCTACACTAGATATGAAATTTTGAGAAATTTTTTTTAGAGTCATAATTTCAAGGGTTCATTAATAGTCTTTTCCATTGTATTTGATGGAAAAGCAGATTAGAGATGGACTAAGATCACTGCTTGGGTAGAAGAGACAATGGTGAGAAAACAGAACTACTTAACTCTTATTTTGCTTTTGTTTTCTCTGCAAAGGAAAATAATCTTTGAATTGGAAACGGCAAAACAAATATAGCTAATAAGTCATAAAAATCCAGTATAAATAAGCAGATAATAAATGGATACCTAGCTACCTTTTATGAGTTCAGATTGTCAGGCTTAGATGAACTATGTCCCTGAATACTGAAAGTATTTTGGAAAATGTGATTTTGAATTACTTTCAATGATTTTTGAAAGATCATGAGAGTATGAAAGAGTTGTTGAAGAGCCAGAGGCAGGCAAATATCTTGATTTTCTAAAAGGGAAGAGAGTGAAATTTATACACAAAAAGTCAGTGAGTTTGACTTTTATTCCTGGATTTTGAGAACCATTGGTGTATGCTGTTTTCTTGGCTCTGTTTATCTAGAATATATTCTTAAGGGTGTAGCTAATAAACCTTTAGAAAAGGAAGTAATTATCAAAATGAGCTAGTAGGGCTTCATCAAGAATTGTCATGTCATCTCCTTTATTGATAGGGTAACTAGACTGTTAAATCAGGGGAATGTTGATGCATCAAATTTACCTATGATTTTAGCACAGTATTTGATGTATGTAGTTTTACATGCTGTTCTTGTAGATATGATGGAGAAATCATAGAATAGATAATGATACAGTGATGTGCATTCAGAGTTTTTTGAATGTGTGTGTGTGTGTGTGTGTGTGTTGTGTGTGTGTTTTGGTTTTTTTTTGTGCTAGGAGGGTGGGAGTGGGGAGAGTCTAGAAGGATCTTGTAGAGTTTTCCCAGAGAGCTGTGCTTGACCTTGTGCTGTCTAACATTTTCATCAGTTACTTGGATGAAAGTATAGCTAACATACGTAGTAAATTTGCAGAAACACAAAACTGAGAGGTGTGACTAACATGTTGAATGATAAAAGTTTTGATTCAAAAAGACCTTGAGCACTGGCCCTGGATTCAGGAGGACCTGAGTTCAAATCTGGCCTCAGACACATAACACTTACTAGCTGTGTGACCCTGGGCAAGTCACTTAACCCCCATTACCCAACCGAAAAAAAAACAAAAACAAAAACAAAAAACAAAACACCAAAAACAAAAAGGCCATGACAAGTTAGAATGTTGGTCCAAATAGAGTAACATAAAATGATAGATAAATGTAAAATCTTGTACTTGGGTTAAAAAGCCCCCAACAACTTTGCAAGTACATTTAGATGAGGAAAGTATGACTAAATATACCGTTTGACCTGAAAAAAGATCTAGTTGCTTTAG